GCTAAGTTAAATGAGACAGTACATACATATGGCTAAGTTAAATGAGATAGTACATACATATGGCTAAGTTAAATGAGACAGTACATACATATGGCTAAGTTAAATGAGACAATACACACATATGGCTAAGTTAAATGAGATAGTACATACATATGGCTAAGTTAAATGAGACAGTACATACATATGGCTAAGTTAAATGAGACAGTACATACATATGGCTAAGTTAAATGAGACAGTACATACATATGGCTAAGTTAAATGAGTTAGTACATACATATGGCTAAGTTAAATGAGATAGTACATACATATGGCTAAGTTAAATGAGATAGTACATACATATGGCTAAGTTAAATGAGACAGTACATACATATGGCTAAGTTAAATGAGACAGTACATACATATGGCTAAGTTAAATGAGACAGTACACACATATGGCTAAGTTAAAACACTGCACAAAAGAGGAATGATGATATCTGTCTGAGGGCAAAGCAAGACAGGAGAGACTGAGACACTGCATGATAAAGACTAAGGGGACAGAGAATAAGTCAGGTGGGGAGTGGGAACATGAAACATTCCAAGGTCTTTATGTGCTGCTCAGAGGAGGATAGATTATTAATGAAATTTTGATTTCATCTACTTAAGTTGCAGTTCCGGGGTAACCAGTAACAGAGTAAGTGGGAGGGGAGACAGGCGGAATCTTCTCTGGTAGGGGTGCGGAGGGGCAGAGAACCATGCTGAAGCTAGAAAGGGACACGGGATCAAAGGCAGAATTTTTAAAGATGGGGAAGACTGGAGCACGACGTACACAACGGGAATGCTCCGACAGAGAGGGAAAGACTGAGGGTACCGAACAAAGGACAGAAAACCCGAGGAAAATGTGTTTTCTGTATACAGTTGTCATCCAACCTTCACAACAAAACCAAAGACGAGGTTTTTAATATTTTGGGAGGCAAGACTGTAGATATTTACAGACGCAGACAATGAGGCTGGATTACGTGGTTTCTTCCTGTGACTAGGTTTGTGGACCCGGGCAAGGACTCAACTCCTGTGTGCCTCAGTTTCTCGTCCATGAAATGGGGTCAAAAATAGTACCTCACTCGTGGAGTTGTTGTGGGGATCAAATGCCACAGTGTCTTCTCACTGCCCTTTCCACTCGGCCCTCATTCCCTCCTCTCTGGAGGACTGCCTGACCCTCCCAGACAGCACTGGCTACCCTCTCCTGCAGTCCACGTTACTGTGACTACATGTACTGTTTATGGCACCTTAAGTTTTTGTTTTCACATTTCCTCCACTAGCTCTAAGTTAGGAGCCATGGCTTATTAATCTTTATAGGACTGCTGAACTAAAACTTCTGCTTTGACTAAAGCAACGGATAAGTTTTCTATCTACTCTATTGACTCCTTTCAATGGTTTCTCAAAAACCAGAGTCTGATCAACAGATGTTTAGATTATGTACTCCTGTGGGCATAACGTTATTGGGCACATTGTAGGCCTTTAAATATAAAATAAAGATAATTGGTTCTTGGCTTGGAAAAAAACCCAAAGCTTTAATGCTTCTGGAGTATAAAAGAAAATTGATACATGAGACTACTTTCTAGATTATTTTTTCTAGGCATAATTAGCCATTTCAAACGGTTTCAAATGCTCTAGCTTGTCAAACATCTGAGAAACTGGGACACCCATTAAACTGGGGTTCTGACAATTCAATAAATAGGGCACTGATGTCATGCAGTCATTCCACATTTCACTAAACATCATTTCAAATCTATAAAATTCTTTATGTTGGTTAATAGCTGTGGAAAAATATGCAATATCTGAAAAAAAAGTTAAGCAATTTTATGAGCCATATGGAATATCTGTCATTTTTCACAGACTGTTTTAACCCTTCCACGTAAATTTTTACGGCGCAAAAAATCTTTTTCAATACATTTCTCTATAAAATGATGAAACAAGACCCCGTTTACCTTTTGGAAAGTAGACACAGGTGAAACAGCAAACGTATTTCCCTCCCCAAACACTTCTGTCCAATTCCTCTGAGACACTTTCATTCTGTTTTTAAAATGGTATTCATTATCAGGATTGAAAGCCTAGATTCAAAGACAACAGAGAAACACCATTATTATCTATTTCTATAGCAACAAATATTAGCATTAGAAAAGACGAAAAAATATAGCATTGGACTCCTTCGGTAATGGAATCTTTCAAATATCCCAACAGCGTGTACCCCTGAGCTAGGGCAGAGGAGCGGGTGAGTGAGGGAGAGCTCTCCTCTCCTGTCCAGTGGCCGCCGGGAGGGAATGCAGGGCACACGGCCAGGTGTCCTGAGCTGCTGCAGGTACGGCCAGGCAGCAGGGCCGTAAAGGCCCCTTCTTCACACAGCTACTGGGACTAGTTAGGGAAAAAGGCCAGAAACCAAACCGCAGGAGCACCCCATGTGAAAGCATTTATGATGTGAATAATCAAGAAGACATGAGGGAAAGCAATTTAATTATTGTAAGAGCTAAGAAAGCTATTAAAATTAGAAAGGTATTTTGTTAAAACTGAGAACACAGAATGAATGGTTGCTCTGTTTTAAAAATAAAAAGCAAGGTCCCTAACAGCTAAATTAATATCTTTTACAATATCATTATCACTCATTATTAATTACAAGTCAGAGGACAGTCGGTACTTTAAACAAAATCAAAACACAAAGTACTTCATTTTAGAGATAATGTACCATTGTAAGCACACCCAGGAGACCAGTGGGAATCGGATCTTGTTTAATTCTCTCTGCAACCAGTTCTATTAATAGCATCAACATGTTGTAGATTCCTTCATGAATTTCAGTACCCCACTTGTGAACAGCACTCGAAGTCAGGAGCTACAAAAACAAAGGGCACTTTAGAGTCTAACTTGAAAAGAAAAAGTCTATTGTTTATCAGCTCAATCTTGAATAATCAAGAGATGATTACCATAGTATCACTTTTATGCAGATGACTTGCTTTAAAAGGCCTATAGCCTGCAGCCCATCTACTCACTCAATGATTTCAGAATCAACATTGAGTTTTGTTTTTGAACATTAATTCCCTCACACTGAAGCAGCTGGTTTAAAAGAAAATTTTCATTTGCTTCTCCACTTTTCGTTATTACTTGGGGAGGTCAAGTGGTGTAGAGCAAGGAAGAACCTGAGACCAAATCCTGGAGCTACTACTGTTTTATAGCTGTATGGCCTTGGACAAGAAATTACCCAAGTTCCCAGGGGCTCAGATGTCTCAGGTCTAAAGAGGCAAAATTCCTACCCACTTCACATAGATGTGATGAGTATCAAAAGATAAAACAAATGTGAAAGTGTTTTATAAATAGCAAGGTATTATTATTAACATATAATGGCTGTCACTATTAACCAATGTTCCTAGAATCTAAGAAGTACGCTATCTTTCATGATTTGAACATACATATTCCTGCTGTATTCTTAATATCTCAGAAACAGGACCGGTCTTTCCACCTGTTGACCAGATGGCAACAGGACTACGAATGTGAAAAAATTTTAGAAATACTTTACCAGATTCTTTTGCTTCTATTCTCCTTTTGGTATGTAGAGAAGTAACATGCAATTTTAAAAAATGTTTAAGCAAATCTAAAAGAACTCTAAGTGATAAGGCATTGTAACATTTTGCAGCTATTTTTCTTTAATATAAAACAAAAAACATGTAACAATGGTGCATCTTACACTCAGCATCTTAAGACTCATTAAAAAGGAGGGAAAAGGCGCATAGATGAATCTAAAATAATCATCATTGGATTTCTCCAAGCCTCAGTCTAGTCCTTGGGGAAATCTAATGCAGGAACAACTTGCCAGAACAGGAAATGAGAAAATCAAAGGGTTTCACTTAATAAAATGATGGCAAATTGGTATGGTGGTATCATGTTTTTGTAAGATTTCCCTTCAGAAGGAAAACACTATGCAATAAAAATTCCCTCTTGGTCACACTGAGAACCCCTTAACAAGAGCAGCTTGAAAGAGCCCAAACTTCTTTAGCTACAGAGAAAAACCCCAGTTCCAGATTTTCTAAATACCAATTAGCTGCACTATTTGTGCAAACAAGCAATAACCGTAAGACTGATTTTATATAAACCAATGAGTTATTTTTTTTTGCAAGAATTTTTTGCCTGCCTCTATCTTCTTCCTATACTTAAATAATAAAGCAAAAGGAAGCAGACGAGCATTCGAGAAGGGTCATGTGACTATAAAATAAAATGTATGTGGATGTAGCACCACTCCCTCTGTTGCCATCTCATTTGCTCAGTTTTGAATGTGGACAGGGAAGTCTACCTACCTTGCAGAAGATGGGGGAAAGACAGGCAGCCCTTTGTGGGGAAGCTATGCTCAAGGTTTAAACGTAACTATGCCCTATGGCCAGACCTAGATTTCCTTTCCTGCTTGAACGCACAGTCAAGAATCCAGGCCAGCCTGAAGGTAAGAGGTGAAGAAGGCAGACATGACAACAGAGCCCCTGTGGTGCGCCTTATTCATACAGTTGTGTATTTCTTACACCCTTCCTTCTAATGAATCATTTGAGGTGTCTTGCAAGAAAAGTCAAGGGAAGAGGACAGAGGGATAGTCATCGTACCAGGAAACACAGCTAAGGGAAATGATACCAGTTACATAAAATACTATCGAGCTTTCTGGTAGCCAGGTCTAAAGGCACACAGAACTCTGTAAATTAAATTCTGATTTAATTAAGAACAAGCATGCTTTATTGATGTGGATGAGAACCTTTTTTATAGCTCTAAACTGTAAAGAGAATTTAACATATACAGTTTTACATAAGCAACACTGAACAATATAACAGAGGGTACCCTTGTGCTTGTAGTTTCGCAGAAAAAAACAACCAAGCAACCAACCACTGGACCATTTATTACACTATTACAAAGAGCTGAGGTCATAATATAAAACTGTTTTCTGAAGTGTCTCTGCACAGAGTTACAGTAATATATTCCAAATATGTAACCTGTTGGTGACCTGCATTGACACAGGGCTCTCTGGATCTGAAGACCATTAACCTAAAGGTCCTTATACTAATAAATCCTTCTCCATGAATAAAGTTGCTTTTTCTTTCTGTAAATTTATGCATACGACATAATGCATCACAGTATGTGACATTATAAAAACTCTATTTTTTAAAAAATTACTATAATTCTCAACAGAATTCATAAGTTTAAAATTTTAAATAAATTGGTAGATGAATTCATCCAAAATGAACATAAGTCTTGATTCCATGTAATCTCTGCCCAAATGACAATTTTAAAGAATTTCACACTTTTTTCAAAGATGCAGCTGTTTTTGTTCCTAAGATTAATTTTGGTATTTTTTGAGCCTCGAATCAAGGGAGATTCTATCAAGATGTAGATGGGAATAATAGTTTACAAATGAGCAGTTTATTTTGCTGGGTTTTAGGATAAATACAATCTTCACCCATCTGTGGCTCTAGTGACTTCCTTGCATATGGGACAAAAATGGATGTCAAAACCCAGAAGGACAAGACAGCAGGGAGACTCATTCATTCAGCAAAGATTTACTGAGCTCTCTCTCGGAGGTAGGCACTGGCTATACGCTGGGGAAAACGACAGTGTCTATGACATTGTCCCTGCTCTTTGGGGAGTTCAGAACTCATGCCCTGAAAAGGGAATCATGCTGAGTTAGATTGCTTTCAGAATCACAAATCCTGTGATCTCCTATTCTCCCTGTTAAGAACAATTGCTTTATGAGCGACGTGACCAGAAGGGGAAGACTCACATCAGTCTAGCTCTGCCGGAGATGCTGCCACACGCCTGCCATTTTGCCATGAAACATACTCAATCTAGTCAAATGTTGTACAGTTCAAATTCCTGCGTCTGTCTTAGTACAACAATCAGGACAAATGGCTTGTATTTTGATAAATCAGTCTTATCTTTCTAAATGGCACAAGCCTCAGATTAGTATGATATGTGATCTCCTAGTATAGGTAAGTCTTAACCTATTCTTTGGCAACTAAAGAGGAAGTAAAAGTGACAGCCATCCAAAGACATGTGCAAACAATTAAATATAAAAGTCAATCATTCATAAGCCCCAAATTCGGAGTGACTTGGTTCAGAGTAGGGGATTCCTCAGTTGAACAAGATTCATAAACTGTTCTCACACAAAAACGAAAATGAAAAGCCCCCACCCAAAAAACCAGACTAGCACATTTTTCCTTACCTTTTTAAAGGCTTCAGGCATACACCTATCCATAAATCTTTTACAATTCTCATCAGACTCGGAAAGACCTTAGTAAAATAAATGAAACAATATGCCTTACTAAGATTTTAGGCAGTTTGCAGAAATCATATATATTATTCCAAATTCATATGCATGGAACTATTTATTTACAGAAACCTTGATACTTAAGAGATTAAAAGCAGAATATATATATATTCTGATGAACAAGCAGACTATCACAGTATTAATGTATTTGTTAACAGCCCAATATATTAATATATATTAATTCATATACATTTGTTAATAGTGTAATAAATAATTAGAAGTGAAATGGTTGAACTTATGTTTCCATTGTCAGAGGAACTTCAAATGATCTGACTTAACGCCAACGGCTGCCTCTTACTAGCTATTGTTTTCCTAAATAGCTCTATAAAAACACAAATATTCTCAATAAATACCAAAATCACTCTTCCTCCCTAAAACCTAGGGGACTCTGTTAACAAATGCGCAGAGTTGTGCCTGGCACACAACAGGTGATGAATATCTGCTAAGTGAATGAATGAATCCACTGTAAACTTACCCGTTGGAATATATCGTTTAAAAAAAACCTTAATAGTGTATTTGGCTTGTCACTGGGAATCCTGTTGGACCCATTTTCTTTTCTTCAGACCCACCACGTAGCACAGTACCTACACCCTAACAGGCCAGCAATAAATGCTGCTGCTGAGAAGCCAGTCATCAGGCGCCATAAAAGGCTGTGGGAATTAAATCTGACCCTAGTCAAAATATTTCTTTTTGATGTGCCTCATATTTAATCATGGTGGTAAACTATGCACACCCTTTTAATGAGGGGAAAAAAAAAAATCACAAAACAGTGGACCAATTCATCTTATTTTATAACTGAACTGCATATGAAAAATAAATTATTTTTCTTCAATGTAATTAGAGTCAAGAAGCTTCCTTATATTGACACGCATTTTCCAACCTGGAGGCATTTTATTACTCTGTTGGTTTAACATCTGTAAAGCGCTCAAGACAGTGCCAAACATTTAATATGTACAAAATGTTCGCCAAATAAATATTACTTTCTTCTCCTAAAGAATAAAAAGCCACTGAATTGAACCTTAAAGTGCTCCAAGCTTTTGTGGAAAATGTTCATTTCAATTTCTATAAAGCTTTTCAATTATATTTTAAAGACTCTTACACTCTGTTGGAGCTAGAAGAAAACAGCTGATTTAATTCAAAGCTTTTATTCCACAGGGGCTACACCAAGACTGGGAGAGTAAATGATCAAATAGTATACAGATGGGCGATCACACAGGAGTGAAGATTAACGTCAGGCCTCCGATCAAAAGTCCCCTCCTCCTGTGTCCTGCGGTGTGAGAACTTACCAAGTCTGGCCAGATAGGTAGACGCCAACAGGCATTTGCCTAGTGATTCTTCTCGCTTGTAAGGGATGGACCAGTGATCAGTCAAAACACGGCTTTCCAGTTCATACAAATTGGTTGTAGGGAATTCAATTCCTTCCCCCGAGCAGTTTCCGTTTTCATCATTCTTCTGACAAAAAAGGTTTATGGTAAAAAAACAAATACACTCATTAGCGACTACTGTAAAAGTTCTCACTTGGGCACAGAGCAGACACTGACCCAATGGTAGCTGTGAACACTGAATGTGGATTCCCCATCTCTTTCTCATAGTCACATCCTCTGCCAGACCATCTCAGATCCTCCCAGCTCTCATCATGGTGGCACCCCAGCTCTCGCAGAGGCCAGCTCACCTCTTTCTGCAATCTCTTGTTATGAAAGAGCACACCCACCTTCCCTGTCTTCAGAAGGGAGAGATTTCCCCAAAGAGTTCTCCGCACTGCTGTCTCCATCTCCTCACACGGACTCACCCCTGACCCCACACCAGTATGTCTTCCAGAGGCCCTACTCTCCCACAGCGGCTGTTGTTCAGGCCGGCACTAAGTCATTAAATCCAATGAACAGTTTCAGTCCTTCTCTTCCTTCTCGGCAATATCTGCGCTTCTGCCCGCTCCCTCTTCTTGAAATGCTAGCTCACATCCCTCACCTCCTGGGGGGGCACACCTCCCTGTTCTCCTCCTGTGGGTCTGGCTGTTCTGTTCTGTCTCTTCTGGTACGTACCCCCTCTTCCTGACCATCAAATACTGGAGCTTCTCAAACCTCAGCCCTAGGGTCTCTCCTCTCGGTGATCTCCATCCCAGAGAAGGGCAGCACAGCCAGAAATCAAAGACTCATTCTTTTTTTTTTTTTTTTTTAATTTATTTGACAGAGAGATAGAGAGCACAAGTAGGCAGAGCGGCAAGCAAAGGGAGAGGGAGAAGCAGGCTCCCCGCTGAGCAGGGAGCCCGATGCGGGGCTCGATCCCAGGACCCTGGGACCATGACCTGAGCCGAAGGCAGACGCCCAACTGACTGAGCCACCCAGGCGCCCCTCAAGGACTCATTCTTAACGCTGTTCTCCCACCACCCCCTCAAGATCTGGTGATGAGACCCCCAAAATTTCTCTCAAATCCATCTACTTCTGTCCACCTCCATGGAGATACCACTATTCCCGAATTCACCCGTCTACCTTCTTTGACCTACATAACTCCTGTGCATCCTTAACTGTTTTCAGAAAAGCCTTTCTGGAACTCCTAAACTATACTGAATTCTTCTCATTATTTTATACTCTTACCATCCTGAACTTCTCTTTCATAGCACTGCTCACAAATTTTACCCTTATTTATGATATATTTTGTCTGCTGCCACTAGACCAAGCCCCATGAAGACATGGACCCTGTCCAGTTCTGACTGCCTCTTCTCTCCAGAACCTGGCGCCTAACACAAAGCAGGTATTTAATATATGTTGTTAAGTGGAAAAATACTTCATGAAAACAAAGTTTCAACTATCAATAGGGTAAGTGCCAGACTTTCCACCAGTTCTTACCACAGTAATTTGTTATAAAGCAAACTGGGCCCCTCCCCCAAACTGCCTAATACCTACTCTGGTTTAAATTTTCACAATTCACTCTATAATTTAATCATTACAAAATAAAATCATTCCATTAAAAAATTACCTTTAGCCTCAATTAAGGAAAAGACCATAAATATAAAGCAGAAGTGATAAAAATACAAAGAAAATGATTTTCAATCCCATATGAGAGCTAAAGGAATGTGACTTTTTTTTTTTAGGTTCATGGTTAAAAAAGATAAGACAAAAAACAGAAAGGTGATGAAAAACTAAAAATGGGGTAGACAACAATGTAAACTGGAGGTGAAGGGTGGGGGTGGACAAAACAGGTTTGGAATCATAATGTATGGGGAAAATCCAGTTTTTAAAATATAATACTTTTCAGAAATACATGTAATTAATAAGTTCTATAAACAAAACTTCTTTTGTTTTGAGAACCTGAGGATACTCTAATGAGTAAAGATTTTACTATACTTTCAAAATTGTTTACTTGTTAAATGCTTAAATTTATTAACCTAGGATCAAAGTAGAATTAGGGCATACAAAAATAAAATCCAACTGGATGACATGCTATGCCATTACTACAAAATATCTATCATTAATTTCTACAGGAGTTAACAGTATCAAATCATATATGAAATCACTGAATGCACCTAGCAGCTACTAAAGCTACGAGCTTCCAAGCAGGACGGCTGCCTTCCTAAGCGTCACAGGAGAGCTGTGTCCTCTCTCTGCTCTCCAGCAGGTGAGGACACAATGAGGTCAGCAGCAGCCTATACCCAGAAGAGGCCCTCGCTGGAACTCAACCACGCAGGCACTCTGATCTTGGACTTCCAGCCTCCAGAACAGTGAGAAATGAATTCCTGCTGTTCATAAGCCAAAAAACAAGCAACCAAAGAGCTAAGAGCTTCCTCTGGGGGCTGAGGGGGAGGCAAGGTCTTTAACATCAGTAATGAGATGAACATCATGTGTGCACTGAAGTAACGCACCATGAAGGCACAACATCACTTCTGTGGTCGTCCTACCAAATGTGCAAACCTGAATCTTGTCATGAGGAAACCCAACGTGACGAACACTCAAAAAATAACTAGCCTGTGTTCTTCAAAAATGTTAAAGTCATGAAAAGACTGAGGATGACCAGACAGACAAGTATCTGTGATATGGTCTCCTGGCAGGAATTTCTGTTTTGGTTTTACATGACTTCTTGGCTTCAAAGAACTTTAGTACTGGATCAATGTTAATTTCCTCATTTTGATAATGTGCAAAGGTTAAAAAAGAGAGTATCTTCATTTTTAGGAAACACACACTGAAGTATTTAGGGGTGAAGGGGCATCATGTCCATAATTTATTCTCCAACAGTTCAGGAAAAGCAGTAACAAAACAGGCACACACACATTTATATACACATGAACACAACACATGTATGCATATATAAAGAGAGAATAAAGAGACTGTGATAAAATGTTAACATCTGAAGAACCTGAATACAGGTTACATAAAAATTCCAGACTTATGGTAAAGTTGCAATGTACTTTTTTGCAACTTTTCTGTAAACCTGGAATTTTCTGTAAATCTGGAATTATTTCAAAATTAAAATAAAAACAATTTAGTCAGATGAATATATAAAGACATAGGATTTTGGAGCCAGAGAGAATCTAAGAAAATTCAGTATTTTACACAGGTATAACCTAATGAATCTAGAGAGGTACGGGTGTACCTATAGTGGTAAAAAAAAAAAAAAAAAAAAAAAGTTAAATTATACTTAGTATGCTCTACTTAAGAACCTCATTCCCATTGGTAACATAAATAATTCGGCTTCTAAATACTATGTTTTTGTCTCAGATTATTAAATAAGGTACATGTACTTTGTAGAAAATACAGAAAATATGAGTAGCAAAAAATAAAACCCACCATTAATTCCACCACTTAAAAATTAATCACAGTGACATTTTAATAACTATTTTTCCAGTAAAAGCTATTTCTTTACAGATTTCATTTTCTTAAAAATGTATAAATGTGGAACTAACTACCTCAACAGGCCCCATCATTCTCTCTCATATAAAGACAGTATTAATGTAGTATTTCTTCTCCTATCTGATTTAAAAAGCTGATGCAGAAAGCAATAATTATGAAACTATGTTAATGGAGCAATGTTTTGTGTCCTATTGAAATTAAGTTGATATTAATCTGAACTACACTGCTACAAATTCAGATGTTAATTATAATCTACAGGGCAACTGCTAAGAAAATAACTTAAAAATATATACAGTAAAAGAAAAAACAAGGGAATTAAAATGGTATACTCAAAAATAGCTACTTAATACAAAAGACAGGAGTAATGGAGGATTAGAGGAACAAAAAAGCATAAGACATAGAAAACAAATAGCAAAATGGCAGATGTAAATTGTCTTATCAATTAGGTTATGATTATCAGTAATATGTTAAATACAAATGGACTAAACACTCCAATGAAAATGGTAGAGATCCGCAGAATGAATTCTTAAAAAAATGATCCGTGGCTTTGGCTGATTGAGCATCCAACCCGATTTTGGCTCAGGTCATGATCTCAGGGTTGTAAGACTGAGCCTCATGTTGGGCTCTGCATGGAGTGTGGAGCCTGCTTGGGATTCTCTTTCTCTCCCTCTCCCTCTGCCCTGCCCCAACTCCCACCCCCACTTGCGTGCATGTGCACACACACTCTCTCTTTAAAAAAAAAAAAAGATAAAATTTAAAAATTTAAAAATAAAATAAATAAAAAACGATCCAACTATATGCTATCTACAACAGACACACTTCAGATTCAAAGACACAAAGAGGCTGAAATAAAAGGAACAAAAGATATATCATGTACACGTAAAAGAGTTGGAGTGGCTACACTAGTATCAAACAGGCTAGATGTTAAGACAAACATACTACTAAAGATAAAAAGGGATACTTCATAATGATAAAAAAAGGTCAAAATAGCAGGAAGATAAAATAAAAGGACGGAAAAAGACATACCATTAATAGAGTAACCAAAAGAGAGCTATAATGGTTGGCTACACTAATATAAAAAAAAAATAGATATTATGTGAAAATATGTTACTAAAGACAAGGAATTTTTTTATGATAAAGGGTTAATCTATCGGGAAGACATAACAATTATAAAAATGTATGCATCTAAAAAGAGACTCAAAGTAAAGGAAGCAAAAAGTGACAGAATTTAAGAGAGAAATACATACTTCAACAAAAATAGTTGGAGACTTTAACACCTCACTTTCAGTAATAGACAAGATAAAAGATCAACAAGGGTATGGAAGAGTTAAATAAATAATACTACAAACTAAGTCTGAAAGACATTTATAGAATATTCCACCCAATCACAGCAGAATATACATTCTTAAGTGCACATAGAACACTCTTCAAGATAGAGCATGTTAGATCCTGAAACAAGCCTCAAAAAATTTGGAAGAATTAAATCATACCAAGTGTGTTCTCTGACCACAATGGAATGAAATTAGATATCAACAGCAGAAGGAAAGGAAATCTAAAAACATGTGAAAATTAAACAACATACTTCTAAATACCAGTGGGTCAAAAAAATTA